AGGAGTCTTCTGTGTTGTCGGCTCGTGGCGCTGACGTTGGTGCCGTTGTTGATGTTGATGTTGGCGCTGGTGCTGCTACTGACATTGGTATTGGCGTTGGTGCTGATGTTGGAACGGCTTTGGGGGAGACTTCTTCCTGGTGATGACTTCCCAACCCGTCCCAGTGCTGATGTGAGATGATTGAGACGAAGTCTTCCTTGTAAGCATGGCGCTAGCTTTGTGGGTATCTGCTTCCTGATAGTATTGTAGGGCCGAAAGTTGCTTCCCATGTACCTTCAAGGATGTTGTCACTAGAATCATGCAAGGAGAACAATCGTCCAAGATGAATAGATTGTCTATGTGTGGCATGAGAGCTGCTTCCGCTTGTGCGAGAAAATCCATTCCCAAGACAACCTGAAAATCATCCAAAGGTGCTACAGATAGATTGATGGGTCCTTTCCATGACCCAACTTGGAGATCTACCCCACAAGCCATGCCTTCTACTCCCTTGGCCCCTGAGTTGACAACTTTGATCCACCCTGTCTGTTTGGTGGTGGTTAAGCTGAGTCGCTTTGCCTCTGCAAGCGAGATGAAGTTATGGGTGGCCCCAGCGTCCACCAAGGCTTGGGTCGGCTTCCCGCTGAGGGTGATGTCTACATATTTCAGCCTCTTGTGGGCTTTGGTGGGTTGCTTGGATGTGGCATCTTTCTTAACCATGGCATTGATGATTTGGAAGGCGCCTACTCTTGGCGCCGCTGTGGGTTTCTCCTCATCGCTCTTTTCACTGTCGTTGAGTTTGGCAATGAGGGCAGTGAGTTTCTTCTGTGTTGGACAGTCACTCATCCAATGTTTCCTATTACAAAGGTAACAAGGCACAAGAGGAGTAGTCGGTCTCCTAGTGAATCGGTGGCCCTGATAGCTTGGGCCTCCTTGTGGCTTCTTCCCTTGTTGGTAATTGCTGGGCGTGTTAGTAGGCACTGGTTTCTCCTGCGTAGAGGTTGATGTCTGGTCTCCCCCACTCAAGCTATTGGTATGCGGGCTATGTGGTTGGTGGTCTTCCTCTTCTGACTTCCTTAGATGAACTAATTGCTCGGCCACCGCCATGGCTGTTGCTAAGTCCTTCACCCCACGCCGTTGTAGTTCGAGTTCCGCCCATGGTTTGAGACCATCCATGAAGTTGAACAAAAGGTCTTTGTCAGACACGTTGAAGATCTCAAGGGTCAAGGTCGAGAACTCTTGGACATAGTCATGCAATGAGTCTTGGTGTTTCAAGTTCTTCAACTTTTTTGTGCCAAGTACTCAACATTTTCGGGGAAGAACTGTCACTTGATCTCTCTCTTGAAATCGGCCTAGGTGTTGATGGTCCGAGTGCCACGTTCAATGTCCTTGCAACATCTACGCCACCATAACATTGCAATATCATTTAAATACATGGCGACTGCATGTACCTGAGTCTGGTCATTATGGATGCCAGTCGTAGAGAAGTATTGATCATGTTGCCACAAGAAGTTTTCAAGCTCCCGAGCATCACGAGCATCGGAGTATGGAGTTAGTTGGCACACCTTGATGTGGGTGGATGAAACATATGAGGGGATGGTGGAATTGGCCATAGCTCTTTTCATGATTGTCAGCTCGGCCCTCATCTCATCCAACTACGCTTGGAAGCTGTCCATCAAGCCTTGAAGGCTGCTTTGGGAAGAGCTGGCTTGTGATTGCTGCACGGTGTTCTGGACGTCTCGGAGGGCTCGTTAAAGCGACTCTCCAACTCCACCACAGCATTCTCTACCGTCTCCATTTTGAGATGGAGTTCGTCGACCCGGTCTCGGGTCTCACCTACTGTTGCCTCGCAACGTAGGATGCACATGTCCATGCTAGCTAGTTGGTCTACAGATTTGTCATGCTTGCTAGCTTTAGTTGCGTGGCCCTTTGGGGCTTGCGTTTTGGCAGGATCGTCGAGTGGAGCCTCATTGGTGTTGTGGGCTTGGTGCAACCCGTGTAATGTCATCGGCAATGTCACGGTTGCTCTTCATTGTGCTGAAATAGGGGCGAAGACAGGGTCCAATGTGTGTGTAGGAGCTCTCGCTCTGAAACCAACTATCATGGGGCTAGTCGTTGGAGCCCGTGCGGCACTCGAATGCTATGAGTAAGCCTCAACAACAAGCAACAACACAAGAAAATGCAACAAAGATGGCACACAAATTAGACAAAAAGGCAACTTGTATTGCATTAATGGATGACAAGCATAAATACACAGTTCAGTGTCAAGGGGATCTCATGCTTAACCTTTACATGCTCTTGATTCACTCGACTATCTACCTTCTTTCAAAGAGTACGTTAAATTTTTAGGGGAATGACATAAAGATATATCAAAAGGATGAAGAATCATACTAGGTAATTACAAGAATGCCATTAACAATCTCCAATACAAAAATACATGCATAACCCACCCATGACACACATCTGAACACTGGAGTGGTGTGGTGACCGTCACTTAATGGCACGACGAAGAAAACACTTATGACAATCCAACGGAGCTGACGAGGCGTGGAGGGAGGGATATGGGGACGCGCGTACAGTGTACTTGTGGTTGTGGAGTAAGAGGTAAGACCTACTAGGCTACTACAGACACCTACTACACCTACACGCCGGCTGAAATGTGAAATCAACATCGTGGTCGACACATGACAGCTCTGCATTTGCGACACGATATGAGCACACGTGTGAGTAAATACGATCGTGGTACATTAACGAGTGAGCGTGGACCGTGATTATGGGGTCCCACGCTCCCAGGGGAAGGTGTCGTACGCGGGCAACCGCCGATAGTCATGGTGTGAGTTTTTATTGACTTCGCTGAGGAGCAGAGCGTAAGCCAACAATACATACAAGGGTATTGGAAAATGATGATTTTGAATTGAAAGTGAAAGGAAAAGAACAGAAGAGGAACTGTAGGCTCTCTTTCTCTCACCTCTTCTCATAATTTCTCCTTCTACAATCCCACCTTTGCTTTTTCAATATTTGTTTTTCATATCTGTGGTTAGCTGAGGGGAGAGCTGCAGAGGAATAATTAATAATTTGTATGATTGATTGATTTGCTTCTGTGTGTGTGTGAGAGAGAGAGAGAGAGGTATGGGGAGTTGTGTGTCGCACCCGGAAGGGTGTGTCGGCAAGCGATCAAGTTCTTCAAAGAAGTCTGCTCGCAAGCGAAGAAGAATAATCAAGAGGCGAATTTCATCTCGAAAGTCAATCGATTCAGTCAACACGGTGATCGGCCAGCCCGATCTATGTTACAACAATCCGTCTTTCCAAGGTTCTAATTTCTCTTCCCTCTTTCCGTTTGAGAAGTTATTGATTCTGTCTTCTGTTTATTGCACTTAATTCCGGGAATTCTGTGTTTTATGTCGGTTTTCACGATTTTTATGCTGGATGTTTGTGTTTGAGAGGTTGTTGCATGTGTTTTAGGTTTTAGCTACCGGAAAAAAGAAAACTCATTTTAAGTATTTTTTATTGCTTAAGGCCCTCTGCATTGCTCTTTACATAAGTTTTTTCTTCATATTGGGAGGTTTTATAGTATATATCTGGAAACTAAACTCTGGAATTGAACTTCTGAGTGATTTTATCTGATTCAAATGCGGATCATTCAGAATCTTTTCAGTTTTACCAAATTCAATTTTAGTATAGAAGGGAGCATTTTTTTTTTGTCAAGGTATCAGGATATTTGCCTATGCGTTTGAAACACAGTATCTCCTTGTAGATGGATTTTTTAGTTTGAGATGAGAAAGAGAAAACTGTTTGAAATACAATATTTTTCACTCTACACCCCAAACAGAAGACTAGCTATTTTTTCCTGTTCCTTGTGTCTACAAATAGTTTGCAACTGGGGAAAGCTGATGATATAGGTTGAAGTACTCTTTTTGATCATTTATCTAATATTTTTTTTTTGAATTCATGTTTCCATTGCATCTTGTATCGGCACTTTTAGACATTCTGAAATCATGCCTATCCCCTGCAAAGTGGTTAATTGGTAATTTTTAGCTGTCGTGAAATTTTGCATGAGGTTTATTTATCATGGAACATATATTTCTGGGAACATCTGTTTAATACCCAAGGAACATACAAGTTTATTTATACCATTGACATGGTTTTTGTTGTGATCTCATGGTATCAGCTGGCAGTACTGAGGAGGCATGGTTTGATTCTTTCACACTACTTGAATCAGACTGTGAAGATGATTTCCACAGTGTTCAGGATGGTATGGATGTGAAGCTCATTAAGCATCCATTTGACTTTGTGCCCTATCTGAGTTCTGCTTTATTGATTTGCGTATATTTTCTAATTCTGCAGATACCTTGTCTCTGAATGGCCTCGAAGTTGCATCTGCATCTAGTATTACATCAGTAAAAGATGCTAATCACGAACATTTTAATGGAAATGTTTCTTGCATCCCTTCACAAACTGGCAGTGAGGTGGCTAAAAAGGAAAACTCCCGAATCGTACATTCAAACAATGCTGATTCTCAATTGAAATCTGATGGTCTTCTAAATGAAGGAAAGCGTCCTGCATCCAGTGATGGAATTTCTAGCATCTCTGTTGATGAGATCACTGCTAGAGGGGAAGGAGGAATGCTTGACCATTGCGGAATTCTACCAAATACATGCTTGCCTTGTCTTGCTTCTACTGTCTGTTCAGTTGAAAAGAGAAGATCTCTGAGTCCTGGTCCACCAAGTACGAGGAGAAAGGCTTCCTTGAAACTTTCCTTCAAATGGAGGGAAGGACATGGCAATCCCACATTATGTAAGTGTCATTAGACTTGGAACTCTTTTATTTCAAAACTTCGTTACTGGTCAAATGTCTTCGTTACTGTATTCAAATTATTTGGTGTGACTGTTGTGATCAGATGGAAATGTTGCATATTAGTAAATGACCCATTCTCCTTTTTCTATGACAATATTTGTTCCATACCATAGTCTGCGAAATCTTTTTAATAACAGATGGAGGCAATTTCTGATCATGTTTTGAAACATTTTGTTCATATTCAAGAGTTAAGATTTCAAGCTATAATCAGCTGCTATGACCTGGTAACTTTCCAGCCACCTTTCTTCATTTTGTGTATGAGGCTATGATATCCTGATACCTGTACAGGGGTGTTGTATCATGTTGGATACTTCAACTTTTAATGTAAGTTTCACATCCGATACCATATCCATCCGTTTCCTTGCCATATTTGCATAACATAGGTCTGAGGATAACTAATTTCCACACGGCTCAGATTAATATCTGTTACATGTAATGTACTAATGTTTGAAGCACATAATTTTGATTTCACAGTCCATCACCAGTTCACAATTTAAGGTACTCTGTTGACTCTGTGCTAGATTATTATTATTTTTTTTATGAATTTCTCCCTTTAGATTATTAAAGTGGACAAAAAAAAACCCTAATACCTTTGAATTGTTAAACTGCTACATGTGGATATATTACTCATTTCAAGCATTCAGTTTACAATTTTACGTGTGAAAACACAAATTTTCTATTGGAGTCTGGACCTTGTATTCATCTGAAAGATTGTGTTCTATGCAGAGACTTAGTTGAGCTATTTCTCAGCATGCATTTTATTTGTAATAATTCTCATTCTGCCGCATCATAAATTAGCTTTATCTATCTCATTTGTTTGTGTGTATTTTCTTCTGATGATTTGTGGTATATTAACTTTCCAGCAATGTTATTTGTTGGTATGTTTGTCTATACAGTCATCTGTTACTTTAAATAGATCCCAAATTTTTATTAATTGAAGAGAGTACATGTCTCTAAACCCTTCTGCCCCAATAAAAGCTTCTGTTCAGTTAAGTTCAGAATAAGTTGGAAGAGAAGAACATTTGATTTATTTAAGGAACAAACTTGTCTCTAGATCAATGGGAAATGGTTTGCTAGTAGATATATTAATTTAAATTATTTAGATAGTGTAATATTGTTCCACGTTCTCATTTTTATCAATTACACCTGCTTATAAACCATCTGAACCTTGAGCCATTGGAATAGTTTCCTTTGACACACATGCAAAACCACCAAGTGCTACGGTAACTTTATTTGAATCTGCTTTGTGCTTGTCGTTCTTTTATCAGTGTAGCTTTATGGATAATCTAATCTCTCAATACCATGAATCCATGCCATTGGGATGGTTTGAATTTTCTTTACCCTTAAACCTTGGGATATGGAGTCATTAGCTGTATAATGACATATCATGTTCAGATCACTCAATACAAGCTAGATTGACTTTGAAAAGTATAAATGTGTGCAAGCAATGCCGAAGGTGCAAAAATAGCTTCAGGGCTTGGTCCACTGATTAGAACCAGGTTGACCTACTTTTTCATGGGTCCTACCTTGTCTGTAGTGAATGGTGAAAGTACTTTGCACCTTTGGTATTGCTTTCTAGCATTCCTCTTACTGAAGTGCTTGTGTTTCTGAAATGAAATTATTATTTCTTTTTTCTAGAGAGATTTTCTAGATAAAAGGAATTTTCTTCAGGAAAGGATTTAACTTGTTAGGTTGCCATTACATAGGCATAGTACAACTTAACTCCTTGGATAGTATCACTGTTGGGGAGTTCATTCAACCCTGCTAACAAATTTGTGGGGCAGCATGATTTTTCTTCAAGAAATTTTGGTATATTAGTTATTTTCTATGCTTTTTAAAGTTTCTGCATGCACCATTTTTTGTCTTTTCTTTATTTTTTTTGGGGATCCTAATATCCGTAAATTATTGATTATTGGATTCACATGCATTGTGTTGGCTTAACATGAAATATTTCTTGACAGTAACATACTCTATTGTCTTTCTGCCTCAGTATCTTCAAAGATGCTTCTGCAAAGACCAATAGCAGGTTCCCAAGTTCCATTTTGCCCAATAGATAAGAAAATGTCTGATTGTTGGTCTAACCTCGAACCTTGTACATTCAAAGTTCGGGGAGAGAATTATTTTAGGTGAGTATCCTTTGGTTTATATTTTGTTGAATGTTATTAATTTTTACTTGAACTAATTATCTGTAGTTTTTTTTTTCTCACTGTAAACACTCCACAAATTTTGTTTAATTTTTGCGGCAGGGATAAGAAGAAAGAATTTGCTCCAAATCATGCTGCATATTGCCCATTTGGCGTTGATGTCTTCTTATCTCCAAGAAAAATTGATCACATTGCTCGGTTTGTGGACCTACCTTCTATAAATTCATCTGGCAAATTGCCTCCTATCCTTGTTGTAAATGTTCAGGTATTCTTATATATTACTCTTGATGATCTCTACTCAGTATCAATATCTAATTTTGGTCTTTTTAAATTCATTCTAGACATGTGATGAAAGGGTATAAGTATTAATGCTTCCATACCCTATGGCATATGACTTCCATTTTTTGCCTTAAATTTCTCTTCCTATGAAATTTATGTCCAAGTTTAATTTGAGGAAATGAGGGTGGGCCTTGGCACAATGGTTGGATTACTCCATTGCACCTGGGTGACCAGGTTTCAAATCTTGGAAACAGCCTCTCTGTATGTACAAATGAAAAAGAAAAATATCCTAAGATGGAAAAGTTCATGACCATGACATCTTTAAACAAATAGTAGGATGCCTAGATGGTGTACAAAGAAAAATTCTTTAATATTTTTTATAACTTGCTTTTATGGTTTCTGCAGGTTCCATTGTATCCTGCCACACTCTTTCAAAGTGAAACGGATGGAAAAGGGATGAGCTTTGTTTTATACTTCAGGCTTTTGGAGAATTGCTCGAAAGAACTTCCACTCCATTTTCAAGAAAATATCAGAGTATGATGGACTGATTGTCATTTTCTGTTTCCAGTTTTAATTTGCTAGTTGTTGAACTGAGCTGATTCATTTATTTCAATTTGCAACACAAGTTTATTAAAGCACATTTCTCTGGGAACAGAGGCTAATTGATGATGAAGTAGAAAAGGTAAAAGGTTTCCCAGTGGATACAATTATACCTTTCCGGGAAAGGCTAAAGATCTTGGGGCGTGTGGTAAATGTAGAGGATCTTCATCTAGGTGCAACTGAGAAAAAACTCATGCAGGCTTACAATGAAAAACCTGTTCTTTCTCGCCCTCAACATGAATTTTACCTGGTATGGCTATCTCCAACTTATCATGCTGGATTGCTGTAGTTCACATTTTTTTTTTCCTCTTCGTGTTCAGTTTGGATTCTCCACTCAATTTTTTTCCATTCTTAGTTTTTGATTACTGGAAATATTTTATCATTAAGCTTGGAGCTTGCTAATTTTAACCACAAGAAAGGAAGAGAAAGATGTCCATAAATGACTTAGAATCGTTAAATACAATTGATTTAAAATATTCATACCCATAATTTAGTTCTTATTATCATCAATATTTTATTAATATCCTGTTCATTTCTTTGGGTTTTTAACTGCACATTTTCATAATCTGCACGTGTTTGCCACATCTAGGATCAGTTATTGTTAGAGATTTTATTTAATCATCACGAGAGTGGATTCAGAGTGATTATAGTTTGCTTATGGGGAGACCACTAGAGTTACTCAAATTGTTGATAATTTCTGGATTTATAAAAATTCATCACTTAAACCGTATTCTGTATTCTGACTGAATCATCAATACAGATTTTCCCCTTTTCCTTTCTTTTTTGGGTATTTTTATTTGATTGGTTACCGTTCTTTTGCAAAGTGCAAACAACAATATATTATTCCGCTAATGGGAATATGGGATACACTGCAACTCATATTGGATTTACTTCCTCTGTCTCAAGAAATTGCAACTTATTTGCACTAGCATAGTAGAAAAATACCAGCTGTTATCATCATGCATTCCTTCTTAGAGATCGGCTTTCTGAAATTTTTACAGGGAGAAAATTATTTCGAGATTGATTTGGATATGCATAGATTCAGTTATATATCCAGGAAAGGTTTTGAACAATTCCAAGACAGATTGAAGCTCTGCACCTTGGATTTTGGCCTAACAATTCAAGTAAGTTTCTCTCAATCCAGCACAATAACGTATATGTATTTTTTTTCTTCATTTAGATCCATTAAATAAATCTAGATTTTGTTGCAAAATTGTGAGGGAACAGGCAAACAAGGCGGAAGAGTTGCCTGAGCAGATCCTATGTTGTATACGGTTGAACGAGATTGACTACACAAATTACCACCAACTAACGTTGAACCTAGAACCCCTTTGATCTAAAAAATTGCTTAAATCCTGTAATGTTTCAAGAGTAAATAAAGATCCGGGGAAGCTGGTTTTTACAGAAGCCTCTGAAGTATAGCATTTGCAGTTCTTCCGTTTCAGTTTACATTGGAAAGATAGCTGTCACAATACTGGCGGTTCAACCAACTTCAATTTGATTACTGTCTGAGAATTTCGGGACAATAATTGTTTTATGGTAACTACTACAAGGGTCCCCTGAATTTGCGGCTTCTGTATTCATAAAGAGGTTGAAAATGCACAGATGATGTACAGGTCTCAAAAAATGGGACAGAGAGAGATAGAGGTTTGGGGGATTATGTTTCCATGTCCAATGCCCAGTTTGACATGCCGTGAATCCGTGATTACTGATGACGGATGCGTTACTTAACCATTAGTAGGCGAGCACTGCTATCATTTGATTTTTCTACTTTCAGAAATAAAGAAAAAACCATTACAAGACATGGACCCAAGCCAACTGAAGCTAGGCCCTAACACAACTTGTAAAACGTAGATTTGAATTTGATTTGTTTATATTTTTTTAGTATCAGTAAATCTAAGTAAGTTCAGGACAGATTTATCAAGTTAAATATAATTGGTGCTTTGTCTGTGTTCCGAAGACCAGTTTAGATTTTTTTTTTTCTTTTTGATAAATATGGAGCTCGTATTTACTACAAGAAAGTAAAATAACAAACCATGATCAAGTAAACAAAGAAAAACTAGTAAAATCAGTGCAGAATCTATTCACTAAATAATTACTAATTAGAAAATGGAAAACATATCAGAGTTTAGAGTTTAGACAGTGTCCGTTTGCTCGATCGATAGTCCATTTTAGGCCTAAAAAACACCAATTTATAAAACATCCCTTCTATTCATTTCCCTCACTATATATGATTCTCTACTATTAATTAATTTAAAACCACTCAGTACTGCTACTGCCAGCTCCAACTGGTACCTTGTACCACCAACACATACTCTACGTAACATGTTCATTTACAGAATACTCAGTAGAATGGTTCACTCAAAATGTCAACAAATTCCCATGACATCTCACCGTCTTGATCCAAGATCGCATCAATAAAAGAATTATCAGAAGATGAAGATGCTCCAAATGCATTGTTTGCTCCTCCCTTGTCTATTCCTGCAAAACCTTGGCCTCCGCCATAGTCAGTCTCCCCGACATCATAGAAAGTTTTGTTTGCTTCACTGTTGAGTCCATTTTGTGTTATGTCGTCGTGCATTTCTATTTGGCTTGAAGAGCCGGTTGATGATGACAGTCCTTGGAAGTCTAGGTAGCATTGTGTTTGTTGTTCAGAAGGAAGAACTGCATCTTCAACAAGGAACTCACTCCAACTGAATGGAGAGGAAGGCATAGTCTGCATGGGAGATGACTGACAAGGCATGGGTGGTGCAGAGTTTACTGGTAGGATGGATACAGAAGAAGAGGACATAGAAGAGCCTTCACTGAAGAAGAGAGGTGGGATGGTTTCTTGGTTAGTGCTGTTTGAGGCTTCTGTGACTAGTTTAATGGCCTGAAGCTCAGCCAGAAGGTCCCAGCAGTGGTTGTTATTGTTACTGCTGCTGCCGTTATTGTTGGTGTGACAGTCTTGGATTGGCTCCATTTTGGGAGTCCTGATGGTCATTATGGAATGGCTGGATGCATTCAGAATGGCTTCTTGTGGGAGCGGAGCAGATTCTGATTTCGACATGAATGCATTCCTTAAGTCCCTGTTGAGGGACCCAATCCGGTTTCCTGCTCTGGGGAGACCGCCGATGTTGCCGTAATCGGCAAGAATCTGGGAGAAAGGCTTGTGTGTCACGGGGTCGATACCCATCTCGTACAGCTTCTTCCTTAGTTTAGTGTTCCAGTAGTTCTTTACATCGTTGTCTGTTCTTCCTGGCAGTTGGGCTGCTATTAGGGACCACCTGCAACGGCCAACCGCCAACCCATTGTGTTAGAGAGGGGGAGAGAGAAGTCATCATCCTTGCACAGGTTGTTGATTGTTATAACGGTTACTGCTGTATTGCTGTATGCGTCATTGGTAGTTAAGTTTGTTAGGATACGCTCGCAGCCTCGCACAACGGTGACACAATATTGATATTCCGTTGCTCTGGCATGCGCGCGCTTAGGAAGGATAATATATGCTGGTACTTCTGTCTATAACACCACAAGTATTTCTGATGCAATGTATCAGGACCATACACTTGGCCTTCTATTGTTCTAGGGCAGATCAGGATCGAAATAAAATCAAAACTGTAGAATTTAGATCGTTCGATTTAGATTTTTATTGGGTAGCCAGCGAACCTTCCAACTTGATGAATAGTTGTTGCACATCACTATATTTATCTATGGTGTAGGAACTAGGAACTGCGCCTCAACATACAGCTTCAGAGAAGTCATAAACTGTTATTGGCCATAATTCTAATATGTGAAACATATCAAGAAGGTTTTTTCTTTTATGCCCTATTTTACGTGCATACATATAAATGAGATCTCAAATGGTGAAACTGAATAAAACAAAATTAGGAAGATCTACCGAATAATTCTATTAAAATTGAAAAGAAAGATGGCAAAAACAACAGAAATGAGAGATGTAAGAAGAAATGGATATGTGATTGAAATTGGAGAGGTTAGCAGCTCACCTGCTACCTATAGCCTGATGAAGGTTAATAATCAACTCTTCTTCTTGGGGAGTGAAGCTTTCATGCTTCAGATCTGGTCTCAGGTAATTAGTCCACCTGAGCCTACAACTCTTTCCACACCTTTTGAGTCCTGTGTAACTCAATATATCACACGTTCAAAAATTGGATCAGCTCAGTAATTAATGAACAAATTAAGTCTAATCAAATCCGCCATTTCAAGAGCCAACTTGCCTGCTTTCTTGGGAACCGAAGTCCAGTTACCAGTTCCATGTTTTGACACATAAGCAAGTATCTTGGCATCCTCCTCTTCAGTCCAAAGACCCCTCTTCACATTGGATTTATCACAACAAGGAGGCCTTCCCATCTTGGCTTGTGATGACAGATTGCTTCAACTAATCAACAAGAAAAGAAGGATACACAGAAAGAGCAGAGAAGAGATTATGCGATGGTGATGCAACTTACATACCTCTTCAGAATCAGAAAGTACTCACTGCTGCTCTGGAAGGGAAGGACTGGAGGAGGGAGATGGGGTGGTGGGTTTAAACGTTAATTTACAAGTGGATGCAAGCATGAAAAGCATGGGGCTTCACTCCCAATTAACTATAATTGCATGATTAATGTCATCTTCTCTGAAACCGTTTGAGATGAAATTATCAAATATTAATGCTTCTCTCTCCAACTCCCCCCCACACCTCATATGCTTGGTTCCAAGAGCATCGAGTCAGGTTCGAGTCGGGTGAGTTATTTGGTTAAGCATAAATTTAATCATGCAATATTACTTAAATTTTATTGTTTAGATTAATTGGTGTCTGGTGTGAAGGGTGGGAGCTCTTAATTAACTAGCTAGACTTGGAATAATCGCAACCATGAGAAGATTAATTAACTAGCTAATAATAAGTAGATAAACAAATAATGTGGCGGATTCAGTTACAGATAATCACACCCAGTTCGCATGAAGAGTAACAGAGAGGGTGGATCTGTTGTGACTTGGCCACCACTAAGGCTCCAGCCTTCCCCGAAGACATCTTGAAATGGTATCATTTATATGAGTTGGTCGGAGAGCCCGTGGATATCACTAGGGATCATTGTCAATTGATCATTATCCATCTCTGTTTTATAAAGGAAAAAAAGAAGCGGAGGAGAAACTGTTATAGTGGGCTTTTTTTATAATGAAAATCTGGGCCATTGGGCCACGTAATTCATGAATCATGGGACCAAACCAACTGCTTTACATTAGGGCATAGAACAATAATGGGTGCGAGGCTACGGGCTCTGTTTTGATTTTTGAAATGGGCAAGCCCAAAATGGAGAATGGCGTGACCTTAGTGGGCCATAGCATGTCGGTGTCGGGTCATAAAACTGTCGGGCCCATTGTTTAGATATCATCAGGGAAGTGGGAACCAACAGAGATTGATGATGAAGCTAGTATTGTTTGCAATGAATTGAGTTGAAAGTGGAAAGACAAAGAAACGAAGTCTTTAGTCTTTAGATGGGCCCTCCAAACAATCCAGAGAATTCATCTTTATGTTTCTGAACTGAAAATGTCAGATTTCCATTAACAAAAGAAGAAACATTCTACAAAGTTTAACGTAAATTTGCTTGTAAATTTAACGCTGAGAACATAAAGAAAAATATCCAGACTTCAAGATTTACATGGAGAAAGAGGCTTCCCACACAGACCTCTGTTTCCAGAGTAACAGCTTTTAGGAAATTCGCTTAAAGGTTTGCCAATTGGTATTTTTCCCACCAGAAGATTATCTGACAAATCCAACTCTTTCAGCTCTTTCAGCTTCACTAACCCGTTTGGTATCTCACCTGTAAACCTGTTTCTCTGAAGCTTCAACTTTTCTAGGAGGCTTACATTGGCCAGAGACTCTGGCAACGTGAAACCCAACTTATTATAGCTTAAATCCAATGTGTTCATCGAGCTCAATCTCCCTATGGACACTGGAAGCCTGCCCGTCAAATAGTTGTGCGACAAGTTGAGGTGTTGTATTCTACATTGAAGCCCAACTCCAATTTGCTCAATTGCTCCAGAGAAATTGTTGTCAGAAAGATCGACGTACGTCAGTGATCCTTGGGGGAACCCGCTTCCGATCTTGAAAACCCCATTAACAGGCCCCGTGAGCTTATTTGAGTGGAGATCAAGAACACCCAAATTCTGCAAGTTTGTGATGGTGTCGGGGATCGTTGAAATCAATGAGTTCCTCGAGAGGTTCAGAGAGTAGAGCCTAGTCAGGTCTCCAAGCCACTCCGGAATACTTCCTGTCAGATGGTTGACTGACAAGTCTATCTCAAGTATCTGACCGGGAGTTGTTCGGAAGAATTCTGGAAATTCACCTCGGATTCCTAGTCCTGCTAATGAAATCCGGCAAAGGGAGGGCATTTGCCCCAGCCACGGAGGAACCGATAAGAGATTTAAACGGTTGAAGGAAAGATCAAGCGCCTGTAGGTTCTGGAGGGAAGACAACTCATGGGGTAGTAGCCCTTCAATCAAATTGTTGGACAGACTCAAGAACATCAACCGAGAGAGTCGACCAATCGACCTTGGTATCTGTCCTGATAACCTGTTGCCATTAAGATAGAGCTCTGTCAAATCCAACAGATTCCCCAAGGTGGAAGGAATAGATCCCTCAAGCCTGTTATTCGCTAGCGAGATTCTTTGGAGCGAAACCAGATTCCCTATGGTGGACTCTATTCTACCACTTAGACGGTTATCATGGAGTCTGAGAAAGCCTAGTGATGGCATTTGAGAAGAGCTTGAAGGGAACGGAATCTCCCCCTCGAGCAAGTTCGTATCCAAGTACATAACTGAAATGGAGGTTAAGTTTGTTAAAGAAAAAGGTAGTTTCCCACTTAATCTGTTGTCTGAAAGATCAAGTTCTTGCAAAAGTTGCAATGCCCCTATCTTCTCAGGTATCATCCTTGATAGAGTATTGCCATGGAGATCCAAGGTCAACAAGTTCTTTAGGTTTGCAAAAGACTCGGGAATGGGACCTGAAATCCTGTTGGAATACAGAAGTAGCCTGTTGAGATTCTGGAGCCTCCCAATGCTTGCAGGGATAGACCCAGATAATTGATTTTCATGCAGGTGAAGTTCTTCAAGTCTGGAGAGCTTACCAATGCTTTCTGGGACAGGGCCGCTGAGATTGTTGCCGTAGAGATAGAGTTTCCGGAGACTGGTGAGGTGGTAACCGATCAATGGCGGGATGGTTCCAGCAAGACCAATGAGGCCACCAAGGTCGATGACTTGAAGAGAAGTGAGAAGAGTTATGGAAGGAGATAGTCGCCCTACCATCTTGGTCTGGACAATGAAATCATTTGTGGAGATGAAACCTGGGAGTCGGATCTCTGTCACCCTCCCAGTCTTGTTGTCGCAAGACACCCCTTCCCACTGGCAACAATTGTGGCCGATCCACTTTACCAGTCGACCGGAGGTGTCTACATGGATTCCAGCCTTGAATCTGGTTAGACCCATCAAATCTTGTGCGTTACACCCTTCATCTACTCTCTGCTTGCATTCTCCTGCAATAAGGACAAGGAAGATAACAAGAACCCATGACAGCTTACTAGCCATCTTTGTCTGCAAATTGGAACAAGGCATACCTCTCTGCTGACCAGTGTTGTGAATTTAAACCAGCAGTGTCTGTTGGTGAAAATGGTGCAAAGGTGATTATTAAATGAGGAGAGAGAGAGAGAGAGAGAGAGAGAGATGGTCAAAGATAATGGTTTTGCTTTCTCTTTTTCTTTATTCTTTTCCTTTTGCAGTTTCATATGCTAAAAGCGAAAAACTGTCTAGTAATGTTCTTCTTGCCTGCTAGTACCGTGGGTGGGATTATGAGTTTATGGGTAAGTAGGGAGGAGTGGAGGACTAAGCTAACAAAGCCTAACATCCCTGCAAGTATTATTTTTTCTGAGAAATTAATATCCAATAACTCGACCTTATGTGCCACTGCCTGTGTGGTATCCAGTTCCAGTCTCCAACGAGGCATCAAAAAGCTAACCAACTCAGAAGCTTCTGCAGTCTCCAACGAATGAGTCTGGCTCTGGCATGCCAGAAATATTGCATCAGCCTATCAGTTTGCTCGATCGAATGGTGATAACCACCTTTGGCTTCTATAACCTTGTAGGTGTAGAGTGGTCCAAGGATGTTCGTTCGTTTTGTTTCTTTTTTTCTTTAATGCCCCATTTTCAAGAACCATTAGAAGATTCGTTGAAGGTAGAAGAAAACTGGAAAGTTGAAGCTTCCATGTTCCATAGGTTCAGGTGCTCTTCTTCTGTACTTTAAAAAACTTGCAAAGTTCTAGAGCTTAGATTATTGGTTGCTTGGGCACTTCGAGGACTGTCATCTGTTTAAATATTTTCTTAATTTAAATAACAACTTTTGGGATTTCAAGAGTAAAGAATCTCTTGATCTTCAGAATTGTTTTAAAAAACCACTTATTTTCATTACCTCTATTGTCTAATGGCTATTATCCAAACATTTCCATGGCACAAATACATCAAATCCAACATTAATTAAGGCCACATTTGACTGCAAATTTTAAGTTGCCTACATAAAAAGCATAACCCAGTATAACCGGCCGGAAGTTAGCTCTGAGTTTTGTCTGAAAGCAAGTGTTTGATTAAGCAGCCATGACCTTCTCGAAAGAATGTAGGGCACTGGGACAAGTAAACCACTTTACGTCTCATCTGAGTTCACATCTGCGTCACGTAGGGGAGAGCCTCACAACGTCCTATAACGTCCTATAACACATCCTCACCGTGCATTGAGCCGATGATAGTATCAGCCCCGATGATAGTATTAACCCCGATGATATCATCATCACGAGATATTCTCCAACATACGGCAGGGATGTGGTGTGGAACATTGTGCGGGCGCCCCTTGTGTGGCGCAGATCTGAACTCGTCTCATCTAGTATATCGCATCAGACCATAATAAAGTAAAGCGACCACAAATCCTTGCACTTGGACCCAAGTGCCGGGTTTTGGATGTGTTTGGGTTGACCGTGATTAATAAATTGGGCTAGGTTCGGACGGACTCGTAGACATCAGAAGCAGCCATCAGATCTTGTGTTTGAAGTTATGGAACCGGGGTCTTAGTCAACCAAAAGGGGGTCAATTTTGTGGGTGTTCCCACGTCTATAACCTTAATTTGATCCATTGGGAATGGAAATGGAATTGGATTCTACCTGGCAACACCGAAATCTTAAAAAAAAAACACAATGAACAAACATTAAAAATTTTCATTATTTAACTAAAATACATAAACTGTCAATTACCCTCCATATAAAACCCAATGTATTATAAATTCAACACATATATAAGCATTCAATATACAAGTCAGGGAGGATCAGGTTTAACATAATATCTTATGGCGTACCCTACCCATATCTAGTGGTAGGGTTTCAAGAAAATTAAATAGGGAGCAAAAGAAGTAGGGTTTCAAGAGAAATTGGAAGAGAAGATTTGAGTCTATTACAGATTTTTTAAAGAATATATATATATTATTTTGGGAGTTGGAAGAAAGAATGATCATTGACAACTAAATTCAAATTGCGTGTGTGTGTGTGGGGNGGGGGGGGGGTTGTATTCATATGGGTTGTAAAATCCCAAAACTTATCCTTGCCCCAAAATTTGTTTTCCAAACACAAAAAATCACCCCATTAGGTTGTGGAATGAAAAGCATTGATTGGGTTTGGTGGAAATTGCCATCTTTAATTATATTCAAAGTATTAACTCACATGCTTTCTCATAAAATCTTATATTTAAGGTATTTTGTTCTCATTACTATTAAAAGTATGAATGAACTTCTCTTCTTTGACTCTAAAGCTCCTCTACTTGAATTTGATCTCTCTCTAATTGTGAATGTAAAAAAAAAAGAAGGTTGTACTTTCCACTTCATTCAATTTCTTCTTATTAAAATTTATTCTCACTAATTTGGTCAAAGCCTTTTTGGTATATATGATACCTTTTCAGCATCATAGATTTTTTTATAGAAGGTAGAGAAAGACAGTTCATATTTTCCTGATTTTATAAACTGATTCTGAAATTTCACTGGAATTTTGAGGAAAAAAAGATGTGTATATATAATGAACGGGCTACAAAACCCAATCAGAAATAAATATGTCAAACTGGATTATCAGAAACCGACGTGTTTACTACCAATTAGGTTTCGTAGCCTGTTATACACGTCTTGTTTCGTAGCAACCATGAAACCCAAAATTTATGAGGCCCACATGATTTCATGAGAGACAACCATCTGATTGGAATTAGGGTATTAATAAACCGGTTTTGGGTTGAATCCTGTCCAAATCAAAATCAAATTGGACGGATTGGATGGACCAATAAGAAGAATTGGACCAGTCTAAGCTTAATGGTCTAAAGTACATATTGGATTGTCCATCCATACTAGATTTATATAAAAATACAGCTGTCAATGGACCAGGTTCGGATCGGAACCAATCTAAATTAAAATCAATTTGAACATATTGGACAGTCCAGACATTAAATTGAACTGGTCCAAAATGGTCCATGCCTCCATAATATTCATCGAATTGGATCAGACCTGGTTCATCTACAATGGATTCATATTGGACCGGTTCGGATTGGAACTAATCCAATCCAATTGACACCCCTAGTTGGAACTTGATCCAACTGCTTGGGAGAAGCCTGAACTTTGTCACAGCATGACTTAAGTTCAGAACTGCTTTTCCATATTGAAAGTAGAGGAAGCGTTCAGAGTTGGCAAGGTGTTTATTTTCAGCAAGGAAAAGAACCTGAGCTACAAAAAAATAATCAATCCCATCAACGAACAGTACTCAATGAATGATATACAACATAGGGATGATCAGAATACAAAATTTACAACTTGGATATCAGACCACAGAATTAATTTTCCTAAGCTCCTGAGATTCATTCTGTGTAGCCGTTGGATTGTGCCGATATGGAAGCCGTTGGGCTTTCAACATCCCGATCCCCAGTGCCAAACGTAGCTTTTCCGGACAACATCTTCAGAGCTATTTGAGCAACATCAGCAAACCACTCATCCTCAGGCAATACACTGCCACCACAAAGTCAAGATTTTCAGGTTTGAGATGGTTAAAGAATTCAGGACTCAGAGACTGTTCAATTAGCTCTAGCTCAGCCATGAAAGAGGAAAAAAGAGAGAGAGGAAAACCACCTGTATGGATCCATTCCTGTGGCAGCAAATGCATCCATAGCTCTTGCAGTGATGTCTTTGATTACTTGGTGCAGATTACGAGATAAGCAGCGGCCTTGGGATGAAAAAAGTGTCACAAACTCCATGTCCAAATAAAACTGGAGAAGAACCGTATGAGTGATCAACGATTAAACTTCAACTCGATCGGACTAAGTACCATTACAGAAATTATGACTAGTTGAAATCAAATTTATTACCTGTTGAAGCCCACGGGCGCCCAAAGGTTTTGGACCTGCCTCAATCTCTTCCCAGAAGGCTTGGTCATCTGAAAGCCAGAGAATGACAGTCTCTGTGAGTCTCATCAGTAGAAGAGTTGCAAACCTTTCCCTGCCAGCAAACATTTCCGCAGCAGCACTTGCCATCCTACTGACTTTTAAGAGAAGTTCCTGGTCAAGAGCAATGGCATTCACATTAAGCTATTCTGTTCAGGTTTAAGCATGTGATTTAGTACCGAAATATGAAAAACTGAAGCACAGCCTACTACACATAATTCATGCTCAGATCATACTAGAAGTACCTGAAATATTGGAGAGGGAAACCATTCTGGTTCTTCAGCTTTTCCATCCATGTTTATGTACATTTGAGCACTCAGATAGGTACCACCATCTTCTGTGAAGATGAGATCAAGGGCATGCTGTCGACAGAAAATATCTCGCAACCTGTCAACAGATCGTTGAAGCCGCCTCTTCCATTCCCTTTGCTCTGGAAGACGGTTTTGTCTTTCTGAATTTCTTTTGGAAGGATCGTCATTCCCACCAGATTGGTTCACTGGGGAAAGCTTCATTGCAGCACGCGGGAGGAGCTCTTCTGCTAATAAAGATGCATTTGCTAACAAAGCAATCTGCTGATCTTCAGTCTCAGCAGTCCTAACAATTTTATTGCCAGAACCCTCCATGTTCTCTTCCTCCTCCATTGAACTGGGTAATGCACTTATCAGTAAGTCGACATAGGAGTTGAATACTCTCAGCAAGCCTTCCAATGTGGGACCAGCCAACTGCATGCTCAGGAGTGGTCCAACATCTTCAAAGAATTCCTGCAAAACCATTACAGATTTAGAGGAATAATGAGAAATTTGGTGCATTTGATAGAAGGGAAGCACTGAGACTAAGTTGCAATTCAATCTCAGTCATAGTTATAATTATGTGAAAGAAGCACAATGCCCTCCCATGTCCCAATGGATTACATTTCAATAGAAAAATAAATAGAACACCTGAACCATTGAATTGAAGCGGTGGGCACTGCTTGAAAGCTTAGGCTGGGAACCAGAGGAACGCGTACCAACTGGAGGATATGTGAGTACCCAATCATCTGCAACAGCTAGTGCAGCACTGCTTTCTTCGATTCTTTTCAGATTGGCATGTAGAGCCTGCTCAATACTAGGCCTGAAGAGCTTCAAGAGTACAGGGCAAAGGGCCAGACCCCGGGCTTCCAACAGAGAACAATGACCCAATGCTATTTGAACGCACTCAGCAGCAACTCTTAGGCCTCCAGCAGCTGCGGATGCAGATAATGCATGTCTCTTCACAAGAAATGCAAACACCTCTGTTTGCTTTATTGACCAAGTCACAAGTTGAGAATTATAGGCTGGTTCCTCACCAAATACGGCTGAGGAATCACTTGCTGCTTGGGCAATGGCAGAAAAAACTATTTGTGATAGTGCAGCAGTAAAGGCTCCTCCATATGAGGTGCTTGATGGACGAAGGCTTTGCAGATTATACTGAAGCCTCTGGTTGTGAGAATTAAGTAGCAAAGTGTGTGCACGGGGACCATCCCCAAGCTTTTTCAAAGATAAAACAGCTGACCGGAGTTCACTACCACGAGTAGAAGGTTGGGAAGCAGCTTCAGCTAGTTGATCAGCCAGCTTTTGCCTTTGTTCTGTGATGGCATTATGTAATGATAAAAGTGCGGCAGGTGTCAATGTTTTCCTCTCCTCTGCATCTTCAGCTCTGCATTCTCCTTCATCAAGAATGGTCAAAGCTTCATCTACCCTCCTCTCAGCTAACAAAACTTCAAGTGTATCACGAAATTCTGCTGCCCATTTCTCTACCTTGGAAGGTTCTTTATGCTCGAAACTAGATAACTCCTCTGGTCTTAAATCTTCAGAATCAGTAGACAAAGAGTTAATGTGAACTCCTTCAGCTAAGCCATGAATTAGTGCTGCCTGAGTAGACATCAGATTCCTTATGGAAAGAAGCTCTCCTTCAAGATCTGAAATCTCCTTGGAGGTGCTGCAAATGCAAGATACTAGTTTCATTTGTCCAGTGCCATGA